ACTGATACCCAATCAATATATCCCGCTGTAGCAATCCCAGCATTATTGACAAGTGCATGAAGAACTTTTGTTTTATTACTTATCATTTCATAAGCAGCATCAATATCTTCTTGACGGGAAATATCTAATTTAAAGACAGTTGCTCGTGATGATAGAATTTTTGCTAATGAATCTTTATTATTTGGATTATAAACACCAGCTAATACATTAAAACCTTGTTTATCTAATTCAATTGCTAATCCATTGCCAAAACCAGTATCACAGCCACTGATTAATACATATTTATCACGTGGATTTATATCTGGTGATGGAAATAAATGTTGATACACTCGATAAAATACATAAACAAGTATTATTAAACCAACGAGCAGACACATATCTTTTATTATATGTTAAGATAAAATATAAGTGACAAGACAAAATCTGTTGTTCTCTACAATACTAATGTAAAAGTATGAGTCATAATGGCATAGAAGTCGAGTATGACACATCTATTTTTCTTTTAGACTAGTTTCTTTTATTCGTATTTTTCTTTTGCGTTCTGATGATTCATATTTATTTAGTAATAGCTATGTGGTATGGTGAAATCTAGATAAACAGTGCCCTTTGTACCTGATTGTTTTGAAAAAATGAAAGGCGTATATTTTTTAAAGTAACCATCTTTTCGAGCGAAATTTCGACAGAAATGAATGGTTTTATTAAGATAATCAATTTATTAAACTTAATTTCACTAAATATTTATTTTTAACATGAAACAAAAAACATTCACATCAATTTAATTTGTATTACTTAAAAATACTACATAGTCTATACGAATCTGACGCTACTTGACTAAACTATAGTATCAAGAGTATATTGAAAATCTAGAAATATATGTTCTAATAATATTAATTATACTGTATAGTTTGACGTAATAATCTTTTGTTGAAACAAGTTCTTCTAAGATGTTGAAAAGATTTAATAAACTAGTTTTTGGATATCTATATTCATTAATATTATTAATACATTTAAGTAATGATATATTGAATGATAATTGAAGTGGTAATCATTATTATTCATATATTATTGTAATTAGAGTTTCAATTAATTATTATCAAGTATCACTTAATGATTCATCAACAGCTAAATCACAAAAATATCTAATTAAGAAATAAAATTAGAAAAATAAACTAGAGTTCTACTCGGAACAAACGCGAGTTGAAAAGTCGGCTGACTACAGTGAACAACGTACGTTTACTTGCAATATCATTGTAGATTTCTTCCCGTAGGCATTAAGAATAATTAATCTATTATAGTTTCACCTTAATTCTCTAACTAGTATTTTGATTCATAGGTATTAAATGGTACGGTATTTTTATTACACTATCTATATAAACAAAAAAAAACAGGCAAATGAATTTTAAAATGTGCAATCGTCATATTACACGAAAAATATCAAAAAACAATTCTATACAACATCTACTATTTCAAAATCTTAGACTTGCGTAGAAGAAATCATATTAAATATCACTGGCGTTATCTAAAAAACTATCAGCAGGCCTCCATTCGAAAATTTGTTTGACGTGCAGGCCTTCGTTGCTGACGATTGTATGTCGCACAAAACGATAATTAGTTAACATATCTATGCATTTGACATCTAACATATGCACGGTCACTCTTCGATTGAATCATCCATAACCGTATAAGGAAAACATCAGCTGTTAATTATCATTTTCGACATTTTTATATTTCCTGAACGCCACTGAATTTCGAAAAAACGGATTTTAGATGTGCACTCGTCACATTCTCATGATTGTGCCAAGCTTCTTTTTTGTGTACTCAAAAAGTGAGTACACTACTAAAATCGGTCAGTGTGTCCGGCCGTCCGGCCGTCCGTTTATCCGATAACTTTCGAAAGGAGAGTCCGATCGCGATGAAATTTTCTACACAGTTCAGTCTTAACAATATCTCGGTCGAGTTCGAAGATGAGAAGGATTGGCCGAGCCCTTCCTGAGTTATTGCAAAAATACTCATTTTTCTCTGCACCTTCCCTATGGAAAGATCGACCCATCCCCACTTTCGTAAAAGACTTTTCCTATCATAGTCAACTAAAACCCCAACTATTATATACCATTCGATAGAGAATTTCACGAGCTACAAAATGGTATATAAAACATAAAGAAACAAGAAGGTTGGCTCATCTATCACAAAGATAATTAAAGAGAACTAGGTTATATTTTTGTTCACGATCTAATTGATCCACAAATAGAGCTCTATCTTCCAATCACAGTGATGATACTTCGAGGTTTTCTGAGATGGAGAACTCGAAT